GAGAGCCAAATCATGAGCAAACTCCCATTCACAATTGCTATGACGAGAGTAAAATACCCAGGAATACAACTAACAAAGGATCTCTTCAAGGAGAACTACAAACCACTGCTCAACGAAATAAGAGGACAAAAACAGATGGAGAAACATTCTGTGCTCATGGTTAGGAAGAATCAATATCGTTAAAATGGCCATATTGCCCAAAGTAATTTATAGATTCAAAGCTATCCCCATCAAGCTACCAATGACTTTCTTCACAGAGCTGGAAACTATCACCTTAAACTTCATATGGAACCAAAAGACAGCCCGCATAGCCAAGACAATCCTAAGCAAAAAGAACAAAGCTGGAGGCATCATGGTACCTGATTTCAAACTATACTGCAAGGCTACAGTAATCAAAACAGCATGGTATTGGTATCAAAATGGAGATATAGACCAATGGAACAGAACAGAGGCCCTGGAGGCAATGTCACACATCTACAACCATCTGATCTTTGACAAACCTGACAAAAACGAGCAATGGGGAAAGGATTCCCTGTTTAATAAATGGTGTTGGGAAAACTGGCTAGCAGTGTGCAGAAAGCAGAAACTGGACCCCTTCCTGACACCTTACACTAAAATTAACTCCAGATGGATTAAAGACTTAAACATAAGACCTAACGCCATAAAAACCCTAGAAGAAAACCTAGGCAAAGCCATTCAGATCATAGGCATAGGCAAGGACTTCATGACTAAAACACCAACAGCATTGGCAACAAAAGCCAAAATAGACAAATGGGACCTAATTAAACTCCGGACCTTCTGTACAGCAAAAGAAACAATGGTTAGAGTGAACTGGCAACCAACAGAACAGGAAAAAATTTTTGCAATCTACCTATCTGACAAAGGGCTAATATCCAGAATCTACAAAGAACTACAACAGATTTACAAGAAAAAAACAAACCCATCCAAAAGTGGGTGAACGATATGAACAGACAATTCTCAAAAGAAGCCATATGAGGCCAATAAACATGAAAAAATGCTCATCATCACCGATTATTAGAGAAATGCAAATCAAAACCACATTGACAAACCACCTCATGCTGGTTAGAATGGCGTTCATTAAAATATTTGGAGACAACAGATGCTGGAGAGGATGTGGAGAAACAGGAAGACTTTTACACAGTTGGTGGGAGTGTAAACTAGTTCAACCATTGTGGAAGACAGTGTGGTGATTCCTCAAGGACCTAGAAATAGAAATTCCATTTGACCCAGCAATCCCATTACTGAGTGTATACCCAAAGGATTATAAATCATTCTATTATAAAGACCCATGCACACATATGTTCATAGTGGCACTGTTTATAATAGCAAAGACCTGGAACCAACCCAAAGGGCCATTGATGATAGGCTGGACAAGGAAAATGTGGCACATGTACACCATGGAATACTATGCAGCCATAGAAAATGATGAGTTTGTGTCTTTTTGTAGGGACATGCATGAATCTGGAAACCATAATTCTCAGTATACTGACACAAGAACAGAAAATCAAACACTGCATTGTTCTCACTCACAGGCAGCTGTTGAATGATCAGAACACGTGGACACAGGGAGGGGAGCATCACACACTGGAGTCTGTTGGGTGGGGCAAAGGAGGAACAGTGGGCAGGGTGGGGAGTTTGGGGAGGGATAACATGGGGAGAAATGCCAGATGTAGGCGACAGGGGGATGGAGGCAGCAAACCACATTGCCATTTGTATACCTATGCAACAATCCTGCATGATCTGCACATGTACCCCAGAACCTAAAGCACAATATTAAAAAAAAAAGTCTTCCTAAATAAAATCAAATACTTTATAAGGCAATAAAACAGCACAACAAAATTGATTTTATTCTAGGATGCAAGATTGGGTTTATGTTCTAAATTTACCACATTAATAGAGGAAAATTAAAAGTTATACAATCATCTCAGTCGATATAGAAAAGTAGGATAAAATCCAAATACACTGATGATAAACATTAGGAAAGAAGAAATAAAAGGTAGCTAGTTTCTTAACATCTATAAAAGCATACAGGAAATATCATAATTATGAAAGGCTTAAAACTTTTTAAGATTGGGAAATGGTTATCTCATACGACTACCCCAAATTCAAAGGAATCCCCACGTAAATTATTTTAATCAATAGGTGAATTCAGCAAGATTGCTTGATACAATATTAATATAAAAAAATCAACTGGATTTCTATACTGGGGCACAGAAGTCAAAAAGAGTTAAATAATATCAGTTGAGAAAAATTTTTTAATCCAATATACAAATCCCATATTTATATTTATATATATATATATATATTTCAGACATCTACACATAAAACTATGAGTTATGATTAAAAAAGCACCTAAATAAATGCAGACATATCAAGTTGATGTATTTAATGAGTGAATCCCATAAAGATATTACCTCCAAACTTATCTAAATTCAATATAATTGCAATTAAAATCACAACAGGTTTTCATGGCAATTGAGAAACTGATTCTAAAATTTATATTGAAATTCAAAGGTACAAAAATAGCCAAGGCACACTTTAAAATGAATAAGGTGGTAAGATTTGATCTACCGAATATCAAATCCCATTACAGAGCAACAGTAGTTAAGACACAAGGCTAGACAAACCAATCAATGAAATAAAACATCCCAGAAACATACCATCATCTATAAAGAAATCTTACTGGCCAGATGCAATGGCTTATGCCTGTAATTCCAGCATTTTGGGAAGCCAAGGTGAGTGGATTGCCTGAGCTCAGGAGTTTGACACCAGCCTGAGCAGGATGGCAAAACCCCATCTCTTCTAAAAATAGAAAAAATTAGTCAGGCGTGGTGGTGTGCACCTACAGTCCCACTTACTCAGGAGGCTGAAGTTCAAGGACTGCTTGAGCCCAGCAGATGGAGGCTGTAGTGAGCTGTGATTGTGCCACTGCATGCCAGCCTGGGTGACAGAGCAAGACCCTGTCTCCTAACAGAAAAATATGTAAGAGTTGAACATTTACTTCACAAAAAATATACAGAATTGAGTAATCAACATATGTGTTTAAACTAAACAATCAGGGAATGCAAATTAAACACATGAGAAACTATTATACACACATCAAAATGGCTAAAATGAAAAAGAGGGAAGATATCAGGTGTTGGCTAGGATATCTCATCAGTTGTATATATGAGTTCTCATTGCTTCATATCCTAGTCAACACTTAATATTTTTTCACTTTAGCCATTGTGATGAATATGTATCAGTTTCACACTTAGGAAAACATTTTAACATTACTTACTAAAGCTGAAGATACTCAGAAATTCCACTTTTACTTATAGACAAAAGGGAAATGTTTATAATATACACTAAGTTTAAAATACAAGGATGTTCATAGCAGAATCATTTATGAACACCAAATGCTGGACACAATCCAAATGTCTGATGACCAAAAAGACAACTGCAATCTATTCATTCAACAGAATACTACACAGCCATGAAAATGAACAAACTGTAATCAAATGGAACAACACTGATAAATGTCACAAAAGAAGCCAAACAGAAAAGCATACATACTGTATAGTTGACTCAATTTATATAAAACTCAAAAGACAGGCAAAATTAAACAAATAAGTTTCGAAATTTAAATCTTAGGTGGTAACTTCTGAAGTGCTGGCAATGTTCTAAGCTTTGTCCATGCACATAGTTAGAAGGGTGTTCCGCTTCTAAAAAAAAAAAAAATCGCTGCACATTTCTGTTTTGTTCATGGTTTCTATATGAACATTTTATACTTGCAAGTGTGAAATAAAATGTAATCTAACCTTAACTATCAGAAAACTTTTATATAGTTTAATATAAACTATGACATAATGATCCTATAACTTTAATTAGAGGTCAGGGAAATGAGAAGGGTGGCTGTGTGGGGTTGGAAATGATGGATGGGAATGGCATGGAAAGTGTGGAGTTTATCTTCCATAATGAGAACCACCTGACAGTGCCTAACACTGAAAATCAAGCACACCATTTAAGGATGTTAAAGTAAGTCTCATATAATCAGCGAAGTAAAAAGTCCCTGTTCTGTCAAAGGGGAAAACTACAAGATATAAAGTTGGGGGTCTACTGTTTAACAAATCTTGTGAAAGCTACTGTTTGACTCTTTCAAACTTAAAAAAAAAAAAAAAAATTCAGTGGTGGGGAGAAAAATTCCAGTATGCCACCATTTTATAAGCAGAACCTGCATCAGCCCATCTTCTGCTTGCTTCTTTACTTTTCTCTATCACATTCTCCGAGAGTCAGTATTAACTCTTTGCCTAAAGCAAAGTTCTCTAAAGAGACATAATTCCCCAACTCTCTTGATTAGCTCATTTGTCAGTCTTAGTAGGAATATAAAAGATATGCTCAGAAACATCTAAGTATATTAATTATACTCGGGAATACGTAGGAATTATTAGTAAAGGAATAAAGGAAGAGAAAGTCAACTTTTCTTCTATCTCCTAATGAAAAACAAAGCTATAGGTAAAAGTTAAAGTATATAATGGCTTAAATAAAAAGAAAACATAAAAAGAATAGTTTAACAAGGATTTCCACTTGTGAATCACAACACATGAACTATGGGGAAATGGCAGGAGATTAGCTATAGTATGAACTATGAATTTAAGCATTTCTAAATGTAGTTTAAAAAATAGGTATAACTTTTAAACTCAAGATACACACAATTAAAACACTACTGTTGTCAAGTTAAGGTGCCCCTAATGCATAAAAATAAGGCCAAAGACAGTATAATAAAGTTACATGAAATATGCTCATTTATCACTTTCTAAATAAATCTGATTTATTCTTAACTGACATCTTAATTATCCGTATTTACATCTGGAATATAACAACTTTTCTCTCTTTTAACAATCCAAGACAAACAAATGTTATGATTATACATTAGCTTTGCCTCCTCAGTTTCTAGAGCTAAAATGTCATGTCAATTACTTAATAAGATTTAATTTTACCTTGTTTAATCTGTCCTTGCACAATATTACTGGAAGCTGGAGGGGAACCCCTTGCCTTAGAAAGGTCTGGGGTGCTTGGTCTAGGTGGCCTTAAAAAAGAAGAAGAAAAATATGATACACTTTGACGTTGTCATATTTCCAGAACTATATAAAATATAAAATATTCTACTTCTTAACGAATCACAAAGAAACATACATAGAACATTTTCAATTTACTGTTTCAGAAAGATTTTTTTTGGTTTGTACCTACTGACGTTCTCTATTTCAAATGACTAAATGATTAGCAAGTAAAAATCTGACATGTACAATTTGTGCTTTATATTAGTTTAAGAAATATTTTCCAACATACTTAACCCTTTGTTCTTCAATATTCAGATGCTGAGATTTCAGACTACTCCACATCATTAATCCAAATGAATTTATAGAAAGATTAAAAGCATTCAGTCCTAAAACCTGGAAACAGTCATGAGGCATTAAGAAATCTTGGACTTTAAAGGCAGACTGTCTCAGTTGTGAATTCTGATATTCCACTTACTAGCTACGTAACTTTGGGCATGTTACATCATCTCTCTGTGTCTCAGTTTTATCTGTAATAAGGGGATAACAAAAGTACATACCTTATAGGGTAAAGAGCACTAACAAGTTAGTTTTTGTAAAGTGCTTACAACAGAGACTGAAACAAATTAAGTGCTATGTGAGTATTTGTTAGAATTTTAATTCTTCATATGGTAAACACTCAGTATAATAAAAAGTTGTCTTGATAAAAAGAAATTTATCGAGGCTAAGTATTCTAGAAATATCAAAATAGTATTCTGCATTTTTAAAACAGTTTTTTCTCTATTGAAAAATTCTGACTCTACTTCTCACAAAATTCTGACACCAAATCTCTGAACACGTCATTCATTACATATAAATTACAATAAGAAGCATTTAACCAGATGGCTTTTTTTTTTTTTTTTCTGATAGAGTCTTACTCTGCTGCTTCGGCTAGAGTACAGTGGCACAATCATGGCTCACTGTAGCCTTGAACTTCCAGGCTTAGACCCTCAAGTAGCTGTGACTACATGCATATATCACCACGCCCAGCTGATTTTTACTTTTGTAGAGGCAGGGTCTCACTATGTTGCTCAGGCTGGTCTCAAACTCCTGGCCTTAAGTGATTCTCTTGCCTCAGCCTCCCGAAGTGCTGGGATTACAAGTGTGAGCCACCATGCCTGGCTTCAAATAAATATTTTGAATTGAATATTAGGGCAAACTTCAAGTACATACCATGTTATAATTATATTTACAAGGGCTAGCCTACACGACCAACTCCCTTATTCCAAATTTTTAGAAGTAACAACTAAGTATGTCAACAAATATATAAAAGTGTATAATTTTATTATGTTTTAACCAGGCATTTTGAAACTGGTGTTTTAAAATGTAGAAGTAAACAACTGAGATGACACTAAAGTAATCAAGTTGTATAAAGTCAAAAAAGAGTAACAATGGCAAAAACAAAACAGGTTTCTTTTTTGGAAACTTAAGAATAAAAATGAAACTATCATGGTCACACCTGGTAGGACCCTTCTTCATATGATCACCAATAAAAGTTGCATTGGTCATACTCATTAAAGTATTTGCCAAAGAAATGATAGACAGGAGATGCTGTGTGGTGACGGCTCGGGACACTCCGTAAGTTCCCTTTCCTACTCCCTCAGTCACTGGCACCTTCCTTCCTACTTCCATTTTCCCGCGTGACAATTTACAAGCAGGCTGATTATAACCAGGCAGCATCAGTGACATATGGCCTCCTCTTGACAAGAGACCAAATGATACTGTGCAGTGGGGTTTCAACATTCCAAGGCGATCCAAACAAACTTCATCCAGTACTTCATTCAAACCCCAGGCATGGAGGCAGGACATGAACAGCTTTGCAGTGTCCATAGTTAAATTATATTCTAATAGGGTCAATGGCTTCGATTTGCTGGACCGATATTCAGGATCACTTTCTTCCCTTCTCTGCCTCATTATCTCCTCATCCTCCTCTTCATCATCAAGGAGGTGTTCCTTGATGTTCTCTTTGATCGTTTCTTTCACTTGTTGGAAGAGAACCGCTGCTCGTTTTCCAGTTAGAAAAGAGCCCCCTTTGTCTGAACTGCCAGATGCTTTTTGCAAATTCTCTGGGGAAATAAGCGCAGTATTCGGCCTAGAGGCTTCTTCAGTCAGGAGTTGAATAATCAACGCTTCCACATCAAAGAAAAGCACATGTATGTCCGGGTCTGTTAGGTTTGTCTTTATTGCTTGAACCATCAGGGAATTATGAGAATATTTAGGTAAATTTCCCTGTAATAAATATTTTAAAAAGATAGTTATAATTAACAGTGCTTAGTTTCATATATTAATAAACAATAAATAATCAGACAAATTAACATGCTTATTAAGCTGTATTTCTGGGAATCTATATCATGAAAGATAACACACTAACTTCGCCAATCAGCAACATGTAAAAGCTATCAGCTTACACAATTAGAAGAACTTTATGCTGAAACAATCATAAAATTGCCAATTAGTTTAAAAACCAAGAAAGTAACAGTTTATTATTAAAGAAGAGTATTTTTACTCATAGGACAGATAAAAATTTGTTTCAATAATTTATGAGCAGATTCTGTCTCTTAGAATATACTACTGTTCCACCTGATGGAATAATCTGTTTACCGTGGCTCCCAACCCTTTAAGTTGCTACAACCATCAATCATACCCCTCCTTTTTCCATTTTACCTTCAATCTCTCCCCAGTCAAAGATTCCATTCCCTGAATAAAGAACATATTAGAGTCTACTTAGATTCTTAAAAAAAAAAAAAAAAATGCTATCTTTCAACCATGCTCCCTCTTCTATTTCTCTTCTCTTCTAGCCAAATTTGTCCCTTTCAGCCAAGTTTACTTAAAGTAGTAGACTAATCCAATGACAATTCTTCAGTCCCTCTCTTCCCTAATGTCTTTGCAGTATATAACATTGTTATTTTTTGCTGAGCTAGAAAGAAAAAGAGAGACAGAGAACTAAAAGAAATAATAAAAAACTCCCTCTCCAGCATCCTGGAGAGTACCTCCTGGTAAGTCTACTTCTGTCAATCTCTCCCTCTCAGGCAGCTGCCCTCATAACTCATTCTTCCTCCCACATGGAACCTATCACCTATATGTAGATGGCTCTCTAATTTCCATCATCAGCCAGACCACTCTCCTAAACGAGTTTCAATCCCGTAACTTCAATGGCTTGTATTGGGATGTCCTAGAACAGCTACCTCACATTTTAACGTGCTCATATCCACCCCCTCACTAACCCTGCTGTGCCTCCCGATTCAACAGTTGGGAATCTATCCCACTGTCATGACAGAACGTCAGACCCTTATCTTTGCTCAAGACAGGTTTCACTGTCCCGAGTCTCTCCTTACTCCAACATGTGACTTCCACAGAGCCACGGACTTCTCTCTGAGGCAAAAATCTAATCGTGTAACTCTTCTACCAAAAACTTTCCATTATCATGAATTATTAAGAAAACTAGACAATACAAAAAACGAAATCAAAATATAGCTAAGTATCTATCTGATCTTGAGATGAGAATGGACTTTCTGAACATACGTAAAAGTTCAACTGCTACAAAAAAGCATGTTAGATGACAACCAAAAAATAGGAATAAGATGTATTAGGACTGATAAAGAGTTTTAATAAATACAAACATTTCTTAAAAGCAATAAGAATACTATTGCCAAAAGAAAAAAACTACGAAGAGCAAAGACAGTAAAAGAAAAATAAAGGGTGCTGCTCAAATTAGTGGTCAAGGAAACAACAGTTAAAATGATCACAAGATGCAATTAGTAAGCTATCAATCAGTAAACACTAAGAACAGTATAGAGAAAGTCAACCTCTTACACTGTAGGCGTGATTTTATATAGTTTGAAAAGAGTAATTTGGCAAAATGCTTCATGAGCCTTTATAATTGAAATTGTTTGATCCAATATATTTATTTCCAGGATCCTATCTTAAATAGTCAGAAATAAAGACAAGGATTTATGTTCAAAGATGTTCAGTGAAACAGTATACATTATTTTAAATTGGAAACAATCTAAATATCTAACAATAAGGAAACTGGTAAATAATTTATTCATAGCCATATCATATAATAACAGTATTTACAAATCATCTTTCCTGAGCACATCTAACCATGTAGAAAAATACTCATGTTCCAATTTTAGTAAGATGAAACCATACACACATGCCCATGTACATGTGCACACACACACACACACACAACACACCAAGTATGATTCCAGTTTCACATATTTAATGCTTAAGTACATATACATACACACACACACACACACACACACACACATATATGCATACACACATATATATCCATGGCAAGAAAGAAAAGAAAGAAATCCCTGAAAATATTACAATTTTGTGATGGAATTATAGAGCATTTTGTTTGGATTTCCATATATTTCTTGGATTGTATATGATCATATAATCAATATATATTACTTTATTAGAAAATAAAGCTCTAGAATAAAATGTGCACTCCTTTAGCACAATTTTCAAGGTCCATTACAGTTTGATACCAAATACCTTCCAAACTTTAACAAATAGGCCCTAAGACCATAACAATGGGCCCTCGCATATAGATCCTTTTACTTATTCCCTTTCCCAAAATGCTCTTCCTTTACTCCACCTCCAATCCCTTCTCTTCCATAGACACCCTATTATTCCACAAGGTAGATGTATATCAAATCATCACACTGTACACCTGGGATATACACAATTGACAATCTGTCAATTGTCCCCCAGTAAATTTGGGGACGGAAGAAAGACTAATTCTGCCAAGGAAGTTAGTCCACAGTGCATCCAGTTCCCATAATGTTTTATGTCTATAACACATATTTGTATGTCTTTGCCATATTTATGTAATTAGATATTTACATTTTCCTATACTCTATAGGCACATTTCAAAAGCAGGGACCAATCATGTCTTAGTCATCTTGTATAGTCTCAAACCTATCACAGTACCCAGCAGAATGAACAAAGAATATTTTGAAAACTGTATGCAATTGGCTGGTCCAAGTGCAGTGGTGTTTAGAACCAATTGATCACACCCAGTTACAGATTTCTTTGTCCCTTCTCCACTCCCATTGCTTCACTTGATGAGCCTTAAAATTTTCTTAGTAAAATTATTTTGAATTGCCAATCAGCTGTTCTGTCATAAAATTACCACAAATCCCCTTAACTGGTCTCTCTTCTATCTTAATTTCCTCCCCTCTGACCATGTTTCTGTCTAGCTTAAGAGACTTCAACATTCTATTGAACCCAAGGATAAAATCCAGACTTACCTGCAAAGCACAAAACATTCTCCAAGAGATACTGCCGCTTACCCTTCCAATTTCATCTCTAACCACCATCCCTATAACTTCTGCCAAATCAAACCACTTGTACTTTCCAGGACCAAGTAGTTTCAGGCATTTGTATTTCTGCATATGCTTATGCCAGGATCATGCTCGCTCCTGAATCTCTCTTCTGCCACTCAAGTCATACATACTTCTACTCATCCTGCAAGAAATATTTCAAGTGGCTTCTCTCCTGAAATTACTTACAAATTTTTCAAGCAGATCACTACCTTCTGTGTACAAACCTCTGCTCTGAATATTTCTATACTACAGTTAAGCACACATATTTATGTAGTTATACATGTGATAAATTTATACTACACAATCAGAAAGTTACAGATGCAGAAATAAAATCAAGACTTTCCAAATCTCATTCTTGTATCTAATTCATTCATTCCCCCTTGTGTGGGGGACACAAGACATATCACTTATTATGTCTTGTGTTTGTGCAAGGTACTGAGAGTACCAAGATGAGTCAGAAATGTTTTTTCTAGTCATGGGATTCAAAACAGATGATGATATGTAGATCAATTATTAAAATGTAGGATGAATGGTGCCATAAACAGGTAAGGCACAAGAAAGAGACACAATGGAGAAAGTACCACCTCCACCTCTGGTGACAGGGAAACCCTCATGGAAGATGTAATGAGCAATGAAAAGAGCACTCCTGGCAGAATGATGGCCAGGTGTGAAACAGGACAAAGGCAGAAGTATCACACGATGGATACTGCTGAAACCACAAATGCCCAAGATGAAGAATACGAGGCATGGCTTTATCCTGCAGGCTTGGGAGCCACTAAAGCAGTATTTTTCTCAGAATCATCAGGAGTGCTTGTGAAATAAAGCTTCCTGGGCCTGATATGAGACCTGAACCAGTATCTTTAGAAACACATCAGAATCTAATAAGCACCCCAGATGACTTTATGCAGTAAAGTTTGACAACTATTGTCTAAAGGCTTTAATGAGGGGAGTAACATGATCAAACTTAATTGTATAAACATTGTATCTGCCAGCAATATTGGCTAAAGGGAGCAAGACAAGAGTCATGAATATGAAATGGAAGGCAACTGAAACCATCTAGATGAGGGAAGATAAAAGTATGTAATAGCACTGAGCATGTAGAAAACACGACAGATTGAAGAATGTGCATACTACCCTTTTATTTCTGACAGCACTGTGCTTTATGTTTGCTTTTTCAAACACTGAATGGGTAATGTGAGACGCTATGCTTACTGCTTTTTGCCTACCAACACTAGTTTGACTGAATAAAATTATATACAAATATTTTATCTAATACTGATATGAAAATTATTATTAATAATGATAGCTACACCACATATGAAGCTGTTGTTATGGTCTAAACACCAGACTAGGTATTAGGGCTGGTTATGTCACAGCAAAAGATCAAATATCATCACATATCACTATTATGTAGACAGAACTGACACTGAGTATGAAGGAACAGGTAATAACATTAGGTAAAACAGCCCATCGCAGTGCTTTGGCAGATGCTGCCTTTCCAGGAAGGATCTGCAAAATTCTTTTAGCAGAAAGAGACCATTACTACCAAAGAATATAAAATCAACCATGTTTAGTAAAGAAATTATTGAAGCAGCAAGAGTGACTTGAAGCAAAAAGGAGGTAAGAGTGGTAGCCTCAAGGTAGCCCTTTAAGCTCTCTCTTCTGATGTCAACCAGACACGCCCCCTTTTGGCACCTGCGGATGTGCCAATGTTTCTGTCCCCTCCTGGGGGGTGTGCCAGCAGACAACACATGTGCTGGGACACCTGAAAAATCATCTAGTGTCTACGACAATGATATCTGGATGCGATTGTGTTTGATTCCTCTTATGAGAGCTTCTCAGTGCACTGATTGTGTCATCGTAGCAAAAACTGTACCTAACAGC